TATTTTAACTTTTTCCCATCGAAGAGTTTCTTCTATACATTGCAAAATTCTGATATAAATGTCGCGAAGCAAAAATGTCACACAGAAAAAACAGTATCCTTGAGAGAATGCAAATATGCCTTGATTCAAGTATATTTTATCCTTATAATAGCGCCAAATATAAATAATTTTGGATAAAGGATAATTTATTCTTAAAACAAAGTGCAAAATATTCTTAGTTGAAGCTGAAATTTACTTATAAATATTGCAAGGACAAGTGACAAGTGTGCATCGGATATAAGCGGTACTTTCAAATATATATAATAATTCTTAGTTTAAATGTGACTAAGTTTGTTTTTACCATATGCGATTTTTAAAACAAGAATATATCTTAAGGATAAAATATACTTTACACAAACTTATTTATTATTAAGGCTAATGAAAATTTGTGATTACAAAGAGCATTCTATGCTTAAATCAATCAAAGAGCGTTCAAGAATAAAAATATACTTGAATCAAGGATTCCTTTTTTTCTGTGCAGTTTTTAATAATACATGTGCAATCACGTAACGGCAAAATAGCTCGAAAAAACAGATTGCATCTGATTGTCTGCGACTACTTCTTGAGCGTTCGATATAACTTCGACCCAACATTGCGGCGACGGCGGGACATAATCGTATTAAAGTTACACACCATTGATCGTCGCCTATTAATAAAATCAAATTTCTATCCCGTAAGTGCGATCGACCCGCGGCCATCATTGCTGAAACCAAACTGGTACCGTTGAAGTGGAGGAGACTGCTAACACTGGCTGACTGAAGCCAGGTAGTTTTGTCCGAGATACGAACAACGAATTCATTAATGGCCTCATTATTTGTCTACCTCCGCTTAAAATCAAATTTCTTACGTTAACAAACATTCGTACGAGTCGGCACATCTACGAGAAGTACGCTAACTCGGTTTCTCGACTCACGATGGGGCTCACTTGACCTCATTACTTGCTGTTTCGTAGCAATTTTCGACTTCGTTTCAAGTTTCATGATTGCGCACAGAGAGTTGCGGCGGAATTTCTTTGCTTGGCAGCGCTTGCGGGATAATTATTAAAGATCCAGTAGTAGCTACTCGTTATATACGCGTGCAAAGCCAAAATTGGCATCGTTATTTTTGTGGTAATACTGAGAGAAAAACATTTCTCACATTTATTTCACGCGATTGTACATCAAGATAATGCTCTCTCACGACTGTTTAGATCGGATATAACTGGATTATTATAAATTCTCTTTGCCGGGAGAATATTTCCATTTGATTGCAAATGACTCATAATTTTTCATGCTCGAAGTTCATCGTGAAATAGTAACGAACTGTCATGATTTATTATCATCAAAAATAAGATTTAAAAATTAAACATAAAAGTAAATGAGGAATTATAATGTTGATTAATCAATAAAATAAATAAGACAAAGATTAGTAGTAAGACTAATTAATTAAAATTATTTTTTTTTATAATATTTGTCTCTTCAAATTCATTTATCAATAATAATTATTATGTAACTGGGAAAGTAGTTGATAATAAATAATATATGTATAATATATATATATATATATATATATATATATATTATTTATTATCAACTACTTTCCCAGTTACATAATAATTATTATTGATAAATGAATTTGAAGAGACAAATATTATAAAAAAAAATAATTTTAATTAATTAGTCTTACTACTAATCTTTGTCTTATTTATTTTATTGATATACATATATATATATATATATATACACGCGCAACATATAATAACGCATATAATTATTATTAACATATAAACCTATACATATTATTATGTTTATTACTTAGATACTTTTATAATTTTTCTGTATAATTATATTTTAAAATATATTTGTTATATTAATAAGGCAGTAATATTGAAAGTGTTTATCAGTTTTGCGGTCATAGCTAGCCTTCGGCTTTCTTCATGTGAGATCAATATATACCGAGTTTTTGCAGCGTCAATGCACTCGTACTTGGATAAGGAAAAAGCGATCGATATGCAGCATGCATTTCTTTGATATCGCGTCACGCGAAGCGATAAGAATAGACATGATTTGCTTTGGTTAGATAAGCTAATAGTATCATAAGTTTTGTCAATTGAAAACACGAACACGTGCAAATTGATTATCAAATTATTACGAAAAAAATAATAAATTTACTATTGTAATAATTAATGTTACATCTATTTTAATTATAATATTATACAATTTTTTCAAGTACAGTTTGTAATCAGAATTTGTTTTTTGGTGATATATTTATCAAAAGTATCTTTTTTTATCAAATAAATTCCAGAAAAAGAGTTTTATTACTTTTAATTTTCCCTTCTAACATCCCTCTAAAAATTGCTGAACTTTTCAGTTGTAAGTTTGTATATAAAAAATTATCACCTCTTTTAATCTCGCTTAAAAATAATTTTTCTTTTACATCATAAGTAAGTGTAATACATTTTGCGCGTTATTTTTGATAAACGATTTTTTTTTTTTTTGGGTAAGAAAACTCATTATTCGTCCACCTTCTCTTCCGCGATGAAATTTCTTCCATTAACAGCCAATCATACGAATCGGCACGTGTGCGAGAAATACGTTAACATCCCGACATCTCGACGATCGGGCTCACTTGACCCAAACGAGCCGTCGTCGTGAGAATCAGTCAGTCTCTCGTGGCCACTCGAACTGGTCTGAAAAAGTCGGACACAGTGTCCGTCCACCAGAGCTATGTCGAGCTTTCGGAAACATCCCTCGGTTGAGCGGTTAATCTCCGATTCCTTTTACTGACCCTGTGGCGGTTTCAGCCGGGTGTTTTTCCACCCTCGTTGCTCTCTTTTTCATCTACTCCTCGCGCGCGCGCGCGCGCGCGCGTGAGAAAAGCGAGAAATCGCCGCTACGACGAATTTGCGTGCGGTGCGAAATGCTCAGCTGCTATGACGGTGACGAGGAGGAGAACGACGACGACGACGATGGTGGTGGTGGTCATCATCGCGCGCAGCCGATCGATGGCCCAGTGCCGCTTCGCGCGCGCACCCCACGTTCATCCCCTTCCACTCCCACTCTAACGATCTGCCTTCACCCTGCGTCTTGCACCTCGGTAGCTAGCGAGCCCTCCTTCCCTCGTTCTTCATCCCCTATGTTTGCTCCTCTTCTACTCCATCTTGCGTCCTATGCATTTCTTCATGCCTATATCCTCCACTATTGGAACCTCTTCTTGATATTGCGTCTTTTACCGTCCGAGAGGAATTTCTGATCGCGTCTTCCGTTTGACGTATTTTAACTGCCCTTTGCTCTCGATATCGTTGCATATCTGATAATGAGGTTTTTATTCTGATTTGAAATATGTTGCGTGTCTTAGGAATGTTTTTCTTTATGATATCTCCGTGTCTCTGTATCGGTGTTAGTTATAAAGGAATATATTTTTTCCCTCTAGCTTGTCCCTCGTTTCATCTTGTGATCTCTCCATGTCGCTCGGAATCGCAAGTGCTTCTTTTAACATTTAAAGAGGCTCGTTCCTTGGCTCGGAAGTCGTACTTAAGGGCCAAGAGCCGTTCTTTGACTTCTCGCAACAAATAAAGGTAGACGTTTTCCACGGTGTATATGAGCATTCCTCTTTCTCATTTCATTTTGTACATGTTTTCTGATTCCTTCTCTGATTCACGGAACGAGCTCGTATAAAATCGTTAAAGAACTGCTGTTCACCTCAATTTTTCCATCTAGAAATAAAGGTAGCCCCTTCCTCCATCTCTACATCAATTTCATTTTTTCTCCGATAATATTTTACATTATTATTTGCTACTCCAGTATTTTCTCCCTCTCTCCTCTTGTCTTCATTTAATATTCCTTCCCTTCTTCTTCATCATAAACTTCCCACAGCTTCTCCATCTTTCATATTTTTCTCCTCCTCTCTCTTCCTCCCATCCTCTCTACGCAATAAATGTCTGTCACGTAATGCTCGCCATCGCCATCATCGTTGATCTAATCGTAGCTCGTGATAGAGTGCTTTTTAGACCGGCTCTTTGCAAACTTAATAATATAAAGCGCCGTCTCTCCTCCGCGACCACCGTTTGACCGCCGTAGATCTTTTCCCTCTGCTCGTCTTCTCCTCATGATTGCACCGGTTGGTTATTCCTGGTGGCTCCCTCTCGTTTTCCTAATCCTTTCACCCTTCTACCCTTCCTCCCTCTCTCTCTCTCCTCATTGCAACATCTCTATGTTTCGCTTCAGCTTTGTTCTTCTTCATTTTTTGGTTATTTTTTTAATCGTTTATTCTCCCTCTCATTACTCCGTTATTTCACCCTTTTACTTAGAAAATCTCCATCCCTTTCTTTTCTTTCCTCTTCTTCCTCTCGTTCTCCCTCGCTAATTTCGACGTTTGCTTACCTCTCTATTTCTCCAACCCCTCTCTCTTTCCCTTCGACTTTTCCACCCCTTACCGACATCATTCCCCTACTTCCACCCTTTCTCCCTACCACAGTAGAACGGCAGTCGACAGAGCGGCCGCAGTTCGAACACGCCAGCTTGCGGATCACGAAGGATCTGTCCGTCCGCCGCTTCCACCCTCGCAGACGATTCCTCTTCTCGTTCCTTTGAGCGCCTCTCTTTTCTCTTCTTCTTCTTCTTCTTCTTCTTCTTCTTCTCTCTCTCTTTCTCTTTCTTTCTCTAATTTTCCATTTCTCGTTTTCCTTTTCTCTCTCTCACTCTCTCTCTCTTTTCTCTCACCTGTCTTTCTCCTTCGGTTGTTCGCGAGCCAGTTTATTCCGCGCGACGTTTGCCATCGAGCACCGCTCGATCTAGTCTCCAAGTGGATACGGCGCATCGCTGATCAGACGGACGGACCATACCGTCGTGCTCGCCCTTCGACACAATCAGCACGTCGTAGCGGAATGGCTCTTCGACAGATCAGGAAGTTGCGGCCACGTACCGGTTGATAGGAAGTTAGTCTACATGCATATCTAAATATTCGTTTTTTTTAAGCGAGGTGACCTCGAGGGTGAGTTTTGGTGCTGAAAATAAAAACGTAGCTCTTGTGCTCCAAAATCCATTGACAGCTACGGGCAGCACACGCATACACGACACACCCAAAGCCACGAAACGTGCACCTTCGAGCGTGTCTAGGGCAACGGCGAGCCTTGCTTCGGAAGCCGCGCGTTCGACGCTGCTAGATCAATAACATGCCGCGAGGAAAACTCGTTCGCGCGGAAGCTTCTCGGTCGGCCAGGAGTTCGCGTCGCGCCGCGACGCGTCTCGTTTGCGTCTCCAGAGCTGCGGGCTCGAGTGCGGAATAATTCGTCGTCGCATCGAAACGTCGTGTCAGTGACGTGCGTAAAGGTGTTGGATCGTCGTCGTGTCGTGGTGATAATAATCTTTGGTAAATTTACAATTCCGCGTTAATTAAGATAGTTATTCGTTTGTACGACAATTAATCGCTAATAAACATATAATAGTGGATAAATTATTAATTAATTCTTATTACTTGATAGCAATCCTCAATTGATGATTTGCTAACTCTATGCTAATTAAAGATAATTTTCGGAGAGAGAAATAGAGGGCGGGGGACATAAATGTTAATTAATCTAATTAATTTACGCCAATTTGTGTTAGATACGAATTTGTGACTTTCTAGCTGGTTTGTTAATTGATTAATGATTTATTAATAAATGAACTGTTGGTTTTTCTGAAGCTTCAGTGAGCCAACTACGAGGCGAACTGGATGAGGAAGTCGTATTCCGCGTTGGCGAGCTAGGAAGGACGCACGTAGCGGTGGTGTGTCATAGTAAATCGAGGCGGCTATCGATTTTTTTACGTATGTGCCTCGTCGGCTTGAATGTCGAGGATGAACGGAAACGTTGCGGTAGATATCGGCATCCCATGAACGCAAAAGCCGATCGAATAACGAGATTATGTTCCATTGTAAAATAAAAAAGAAATGCGTGTCTATGACAGATAATGTAGTAGTGCATCAAATAAGTTACACATGCACAATCGCAATTTAATTGAAAGTTTAATAACGTGTTTTAACTAGTGTGCCAAAATTTAACTAACATGCCAAAAAAAAAAAAAAATAACATATTACACATTTGAATTTTTACACAAATAAACTGCATTTTTTTTAATGGACATTTTTATTCCCAAATTAAATACAGATGCAGACATTTTGGAAAATTAATTTTATTGTAAGATAATCTTCTCCAATTATTTTTCAGTTATTTTAGTATTTATTAAACAATGTTTTCGACAATCACAATCTTATGATTTTCTATGGCTGTTGTGAAATATTCTAATTTGTTAAAAATTAATTTTTTAATATTTAATATATACCTGAAATTTTTGTTATAAATAATATGTAACGTAAAAATAAGATTTTTTTTTCACAAAGACTAAAAACATTAAAATAGACTTTACTTTTTTAAAATATTATGTTTTCAATTTGTTTTACGAAAAATTGTCTATTGAATATATTAAATAACTATAAAAATAAATGACTAAAGTTTAAACTAATAATAAAATAATTTGGTTAAATTAATTTCAGAATCAGCAAATAATCTGTTATTAATTAAAATGTACTATTTTGAATTATGGTTCTAATTTCTACGTACAAAGATAGTTACTGTAGAATTATGCGAATATATAAAAATCTTAATGTTATTATTTTAAATACCTCTTGAATAGTACAGTTCTACTTCCTCAAGCAGAAGAGAGATAATCAAATCACGATTTTAAATCATTAACAATAAATTACTTTTTTCTGTTAGTATCTTTTACATATCATTAAATCACGGATCATATCTTCTTTATATCTTCTTTTTGCAATATATGTGTATATATATATACAAAAATAAAAATGAGATATGTATGGTTTTGTTACAAAAAAATCATAAAATATTCTTCAAGACGGAATAAGATTTTTTGCGTCGTACCTATTTTTTTATTTCGTGAATGGTGCACTATCGTCATTCGCGCTATTCACAAAACGACTTATCGACCAAGCCAGACATATAATAGGGTTATATTTTAAAGCATAAAAATCTTTTAAAAAGTTTTTTTGGCATTTACTTTCGGCATAAATTACAAAGTAAAAATAAATTGAACTTACGCAACGTTCAAAATCCCGCTTTATGATTAAAATACTTTGTTATTATATAGTTGATAGCAACTTAACAAGATACATAAGACATTCAGAAGTTGTGTGTTTAGTTATAAACAATTTGATGAATTATTTGGAATATGGTTTTTTGCATAAAGATTAACTGAGTTATTGTGAGCAACTTTTCAATATTTAGTAATTGTGTCAAAATTTAAATTCCAAACAAATTTACTAAAATAGTATATTTATTTTATGCAATAAACTGATTTTTATAAAATGTCGCGATATTTCTTTGCAGTTATTATAAAAAATAATAAAATATTGTGTAATATTATTGTGTCATAAAAATATGTTATTTTAATACACTATGACATTAAAATGTTACTATTATATTATGTTTTTGTAATAGACTCAAAATATTTTGATTTAATAAAAGATTAATTCTTAAATATTTAAAAATACACACATAAAACTTTTTGTATTAAATAAAAATAGGTTAATATAATACGAATTGCTGCAAACACACATATATACGAATACATGCGTGCGCGAAAGAGCAAATTAAAATGTTGGATTTGTATAAATAATGCGAAAAAAATCTAGTGAGTCAATAAATTTTTGCATTTTGAAATTCATTGAAATTTGGACTCTACGCAACGCGATATGAAATATAAGTAAATAGACTAACAAAAATCAATATATTCTTTCGCACGGTTCGATAAAGGTAGTACTCCATGACGTACCGGTTTAATCTTGATAAAAAGCACGACCTCGTAAAGGATAAAAATAATATCGCGGGTTTTACGGCCGGGTCTAACTTTAACCTTCCTCTGTGTCCTAACTACAATTAATGTAGAATCCAGCTATATAAAAAGGGACAGGAAGAGGTGCGGTGTCATCCTGGAAATAATCGTTCTGTCATATATTTTCGCGTGCTTAAAATAATTTTCTATCTTCCCTCCCTATTATATATTCTCACTTTCGCGTCTTTGCATGTCACAAATATTGCGTTGCTATTATAAAAACATTTATATATTTTTTTAAATAAATTTATGTAGATAAAAATATGCGGCAAAGATGCGACAAGTGAAATATTTATTCATCTACGGGGTTGTCATGGAAATGGGATTGATGGAGGCGACGCGTGCTACGATAATAAGTGGATCAATGAACGCCATATTTAATAAGCGCAGATAAAGGAGCACATCAATATCGAGCTGAAAGCATTGGCACATGCCTGGAAATTCGATTGACACGGCATTTCCAATCACTGATCGAAGAGCCGACTCTATCGAAAGCGGTAACAAAATTTCTGATGAAAGCGACGTTTATAAAAAGTTACTATAAGTATCAGAATGATAGCTACATTTAGAACTGAGTATTTGTTCGCTACGATAGGGCTAAGATCATTTTTTTATCAATTTTATTTCACTATTCAACTTATATTTCACTTCTTTTTTCGAAATTGTTTACTAAATTTATTTTGGAAGTAAAGAAAATTTCGATTTATTTGTATTAAAAAGAATTCGCATATTTTAATCCTGAGTTTTGGAATTCTACTTAAGGTTGTCAAAATATTTCACTGTGTTTTAATTAAAAGTTTAATTTTGGATATTAAAAGCTGCAAGAAGTAATAATTATCTAAATTTTTTTTCCAAAAAGTTTGCTCCAATATATTAAAAAATTTATTAATTTTCTTATACATATTTAAACGAAGCAATTACTGTCAGTTATTTAGTTGCTAAGTAATGTTACTAATTTATTCTTTATTTAATGAAAAATCGATGGCATATGAAAAATGTGCATTGTTGATATGTTGATAATTAACAAAATTGAAGAATAGCTTATTGATGTTCTATATATGACAGAAATTTCGCCCACGAATCTCCATATAATCTATAAGATTTATTCACGTCAATTTTATCAAATATAATTTTTGAGAGAGAAAATATAATTTTTCCTATCGAGATATAATATATTAGAATAAAAGAGCATATTTTGAAAATCGTAGAAAATTTGAGCCGACTTTAAAGAGTGGCTTTAGCTACGAATTTAAATTTATTATTAGACCTCAACTATAATATCAATTTTTTCTCATAATGCATGGCTATAAAAAATATTTTAATCACAAATATAAAAATTGTGTATAAGTATTTGATTTCAAGATATAGTATAGATATTTCGTAATATAAGATTTTTTTTTAGTTATAGCTCGTTCATCTCTCATCTAAATCCGGTCTAAATCCGTAAATGAAAAATATACCGCGATGGCGCGCAGCTAATTATCAAAACCAAACGTTACTACATATATAACGTTACATGCACGTACACATATAGACAGCATCGGTTATCGATCTCTTCGCATATAAGTTTGGCGGAAATTTCGCATCGTGTCTGCGGCGCAATCGTGCCCCGGATCTTGTTCTTTCGTCTTCTCTTTTCCGTAGTGCCATTTCGAAACTTTTCCCCGTGGGACGCGATTACGTGATCCAATAAGCTAATCGCCCGTACCGGTACCTATTTCGTTGTTCGGCCGCGTTGCGCTTACATGCGGGATTAGTATTTTAACTTGATAAACTTCGTTGTGTTACGTAATCCGCTTCCGATCATTTTCACCCTTAACCCGCAATACGTCGATTCGCTTATATTTTTTTCTTTTTCGTCTATTTTTGTCGAATGTTATTTGTGCGCTCTTATCTATGTTTGAATTAAGATATTGCTTGTCAGGTGATATAGTATTACAAATACTCTCACACATTTGCAAAAAGTATACAGAAAATAGACGAAAAAAATAAATATGTGTGTGCAGCATATTATTTTCTGATCAAATTTGAGCTGAATTTTTATCAACAAAAATACGAAGCAATAAACGTTTGATTATTTTATTTTTCGCGTCATAATATAGTTTCCAAATTTTCCTGCATTACCATATATTTAATATTGGAGAAACTGAACACTGTAATCGATCAGACGGACTTGCTAATAATAAACCCCTTATATAACTGAGCAGATTGACAAACAAGCTCAATGATTTAACCTTTATTGTGATGAGTGGAAAAATATGCTCATCGTTAGATTAAATATAATGAAGAGATAAAAAAAGTAATTAAAGAATTAATTATAATCGACTTCATTATAATTGTTTCATAGGATTACATTTTGTAATCGCACAAAAAATAAAGATAGCTCCTGTATTTTTAAAATTTTAATTATAGCTTATATATTATATATATATATATATATATATATATATATATAGAACAATTTAGAAAATAATTGACGTA